TTAATGCAGAAATAAAGGTTGCTTTTAAGTAGTTAAAATTTTCAGCTAAAAAAAGCTTAGTAAATACTTTGAAGGAATAATTTAGTTGATGCATACTTTTCTAGAATGAGTGCCTATAAACAAACTACCATTGATTATTACAAGCAAGTTATTTGCAATAATGATTTGCATTTATTCAAATAATTTTGTTTTCATATAATTTATTTGCGGATCATTTATTACCAAGGCAGTGTCAGTATCTGATACTTACTTTTCAGATTTTGGGCTGGTTCAGTCAGCAGTGACTGATCACAGAGGATTCACAGTAATAGTATTGTCTTCTCCTTGTACTGGCAGCAAAAAACATGGAGGGGAGTATTATGCCTTTGTGACAGGTAAGACCAATAAGACAGAAATAATCTCAAAATGCTCCCTTATGGTTACTATGAATATTATAAGCCTTATAGGCATACTATAAATCCATAAACCAACATTTTTCATGGCATAAAGGGCCACATTTTTAAAGAAGTTTTAGTTCTTCATTTGCAAAGAGAGAGGAAAATGACCTGCTATATTAGATCTGTACTTTCTTCTGCTTTTGGTCAGTGTCTGGCTATTTTTTAGATAGACATATAATTCATCACATCATTTTTCTTTACTGAGATTGTGGGACAATTTGCAAATGTTAAGCCCTTTATAACCCATGCAAGTATTAAAACAATAATGAATCACAGAGAATAACACCAGATTCATTAAGACTTATTTGAGTTTCAGGAGCTACACTATCTAACCAAATGTATTACTTTTTCTTCTATGCTCATTTGAATCTAGCCTGGCCAACCTGATTAAATCTAAAGAGTTTCCTGCTGTCTTCTAGCAGGAGTCTCATAATACCTGTCATTCAGAAATGCAATTTATTTGTTCAATTTTCACTTTGTGAATGCAAGTAATTTTTTTTTTTCTATTTGTGTTGGTATTTGCCTCCTTTTTCCAGATTTTTGTCATTGTTGGTCATGGAGGTTGTTACAATATTTGAAAACCTAGGTTACACACACAAAAAAATTTGGCATTCTCCTGCTGTTACAAGGCACAGTGAGGAAATGAAAGCATTAAAATATTAAGGCAATCATCAGACCATTTAGTCAGTGTCAGCCTTGGAAAGCTGAAGGGAAGGATAATTTGGCAAGAGTTCATATTTAGAGTTAACTAATGTCATTTTTATTTTGATACCTGGGCCATCATTTTCCTGATAATTTTTTTTTAATAAAATTTTAGAACAGATTATTTCATTTATGCCTGTAAAGTCTAGGTGTCGATTGCATATTGAGCAAGTTAGTCAGGATATACATCTTGGTGAAATACCAATAAGGAAGTGCTTGAAAACAAGTAGATGAAAAAGACTTTTTCTCAATATGTTCATCACCATGGCTTGACTTTGAGAACAAAAATTTGGGAAGGGCTTTACCCACGCTTACTACAAGCGTGCTGATGACTAAAAAGGCCAATTTGGGATAGGCAAATCCAGCTGCAAAAAGCACAGGGAAAGGTCTCCTTGGGTGGTATAGGCGGGGCGCTATCCTTTCTACTTTGTCTTTTCTCCTCGAGACTAGTTCTGCGTGAGTTCTCAGTATGTTGAATCAATGGAAAGATACCAGCCCATACAAAACATAAAAGGGAAATCTGTCTCCACACATCAGAAGCAGAGTTCAAAAGGAGATATGCTATATCTGTTACTAAAACAGACAAAGTAGCTGGCAAAAACAGATAGGCTTTTGATATGCATTGTGGAAGAAAAGTGTGTATTGCCAGTCTTCCTGCTTTGTTCCACCAACATCAATTGGTCGAACTGATTTTTCATGGGGACCTTTGCTTGCTTATATCTTTGGGCCATCATGTTTCCAGCAGCACTGTGAGCTGCTTAGACATCCTTGTGAAAGGCAAATGTCTTTCCTCTGTCCATTGACCACTGTTCACCTCCACAGTGTTACTAGCTGTATGTTAGCCCCGCAAGTATGGTATCATTGACCTTCCACATCCAGCAATCTGGCCTTCCCTTCATCCCCTAGGATTCATTCAGTAGGTCCCAAGGAGCATAGGATATAGAAATGGTAATTTTAGGGATATAAGACTATAAAGGAGATGAAGTCTATGAGGGAAATGCAGTTGGTCTATGAAGGAAGTGCATTCTCTTCCAGCCTAAACCATTCTATGAACTAAAGGTGAAGACTGACATGTGGGGAAATGTCAGCTTGGCTTCTTTTGTCTGGCTTCAGCTCAGATCTGGTCTGACACACAGTGTACTGTCCCTCCATGCTGAAACATGTGAATAAGCAGGAAGCCCTGTGTCCCCATCTGCTCTCAGCTGCTTTCTAACACCTACTAACACCTACCAAGTTCTTTTCCCTTTTCAAACTCTCAGAATTGTAATGCTGTGGAGCCTGTCTTGCATCATTGACACTATTATATGGTGTTACAGTTCATCAGAACAAGTTCAAGAACCTTGATCAATAATCCCACAAGTAAAGATGTTGGTCCTTTCCTTTGGACCCAGTCCAGTAGGATCATAGAATAGGTCAGAATCTTAGCATAGTTTGGGTTGGAATAGTCCGTAAATATCATCTAGTTCCACCCCCCCTGCTGTGCGTAGGGATACCTTCCACCAGACCAGGCTGCTCAAAGCTCCATCCAACCTGGCCTTGAACCCAGCCAGCGGTGGGGCAGCCACAGCTTCTCTGAGCAACGCAGTGCCTCACCACCCTCAAAGCAAAGAATATTTTCCTAATATCTAATCTAAATCTATCCTCTGTCAGTTTAAAACCATTCCCCCTTGTCCTATCCCTACATGCTCTTGTAAAAAGTCCCTCTCCAGATTTCTTCCAGTCCCCCTTCAAGTACTGGAAGGCTGCTCTAAAGTATTCCTGGAGCCTTTTCTTCTCCAGGCTGAACAAGCCCAACTCTGTCTTCATAGCAGAGGTGCTCCACCCCTCTGATCATCTCTGTGGCCTCCTCAGGCCTTGCTCCAGCAGGTCTGTTTCCTTCTTAAACTGGGGGCCCTAGAACTGAACACAGTGCTGCAGGTCTCATGAGAATGGAGTAGAGGGGGAGAATCACCTCCCTCAACCTGCTGGTCATACTCCCTTTGATGCAGCCCAGGATGTGACTTTATTTCTGGTCTGCAAGTGCATATTTCTACCTCATATTCAGTTTTTTATCAACCAATATCCCCAAATCCTTCTCCTCATGGCTGCTTTCAATCCAGTCTCATCCCAGTCTGTACGTGTATTTGGGATTGCATTGACCCAGGTGCAAGACCTTGCACTTGGCCTTGTTAAACTTCATGAGTTTCTCACAAACCCACCTTTCCAGCCTGTCCAGGTCCCTCTTGATGGCATCCCTTCCCTTCAGTGTGTCAGCTGCACCACACAGCTTGGTGTCATTGGCAAACTTGCTGAGGATGCATCAATCCCACTGTCCACATCCCTGACAAAGGGATGTGGACAGTGTCCCTCAGCTGTCCAATAAGGACAGCTGAGGGACACCACTTGTCACTGGTCTCCACCTGGATAGGGAGCCACACTTCTTGAGTGCAACCATCCAGCCAATTTCTTATCCACTGAGTCCACCCATCAAATCTATGTCTTTCCAGTTTAGAGATAAGGATGTCATGAGGGACAGTATCGAATGCTTTGTATTGCATCCTGGTAGATGATGTCAGTTGCTCTTCCCTTATCCACCAATGCTGTAACTCCACTGTAGAAGGCCACCAAACTTGTCAGGCACAATTTGCCCTTAGTGAAGCCATGTTGGCTATTCAACACACTCCGAGCTGTCAGCTAGAGCAATCCAGGTGTGCTGACTTCATCATGCTATCTGCGCTACAATCTTAAGGTCACTAAACCTTGTCAGAAGCACTGCCATGTGAGGCTGTGCACAGAGACCTAAGCTTCTTCAAGAATTATGGTCCACCTGTATATTCATTTCCCACCATCCTTCCCCTTTCTCTCAGCATCCTTCCAGAAACATGGTTGGATTGGGACGATGAAGCTGAAAGCAGCTGCAAAGGCCATTGGGCTCCTTCCAGAGGTGCCTGTGACTGCTGCAAGGGGAAAAGTTATGTTGTCTTCATCACAGGATATACTCTTTGAATCCACATGTGGAGTGTATGTATTGAAAAACTGGTTGCTGGTATTTTTTGATTTAACAGGGAAAATATTGTTCAAAAGAAAAAGTCAGTCCTAGTCTTTTTCTTTTTTCCTGACTCTCTTGATTCAGTATAATTTGAATTCTGCAGCACTCGCTATGTCTGTGTCAAAGACTTGGGGGTGGTGCAGTGGTGGGGAGTGTTATATAAAATCCCACAGAAACTTGCAAAAGCAATGTGGTCTTAGTTATGAAGAAAACTCCACTGTGAATATATTTCAGTAACTGTGCTTCAAATAAGAATACTATAAAAAAATGCATAAATTACTTGCTTGATATAGCATTTTCAAGACCATGTCATTAAAAGAAATGAGATATGGCATTCTGCTGTATCCCCCACATCATTTAAATGGTTCTATATTTGTCCACACAGTTGTCGATAAAATTTCATTGCAGCGTTTCTTTTTATCACTTGCAAGTTTATCAGGCTACTTGAGATTTTATTTTATTTTGTAAATCAAGACTATAATGAGACTGTTTTATAATAATATAAAAAGGGGCTATCCTGTGGATTCCTTATTCTAAGAACAGCTCTTCCAGACTAAGCTTATTCCCTGCCTCCACTGAACTGAGTAATTGCATCTGCTTAGGTTTGAAATAAGGAATTGCACAGCAGAACAGAAGTACTTGTGCAAAGCTTCATCAAACACAGCACCAAAACAGGGATACCAGTCTGAATGCATATTTCATTTATTTTACTGTGCTAGGTGTTTCTTAGTGGTAAGAGAGGAAATACATCATTAATTTTGAATGAGTGCAGGTAGAAATAGTGCTGAGTTGTCAGCGCTCACTCTGCAGATGTATTTTTTGTGTTGAATTAGGTGGAAACAGCAACTGATTCAGATACTGAAAGCAGAGGCCTACGGGAATACCACTCTGTTGGAGTACAAGTGGAAGATGAAAAAAGGTAATTCAAGCATGTACAAAAATCTGTAGTGTTTTATAACACAGCACACATTTGTAAACAGAGTTAATAACAAACATCTGGCAAGTGCTGCCCCTAAATAATTCCGAGACAAATTTCTTCTATGCATGCCAGTCATTTGGCAAAATTTGTAGTGATTACTTAGCAGTTGCTTAATATTTAGTTAACTTTGCAGTTTTTAATTGGAGGGAAGGAAGTGAAAGTCTTACATTTAAGTAGTGGATTAATATAATTTCATTATTGGCAGAACAAAGAGCTGTATATTGGAATACCCTTCCTTTGATAGGACCCCTCATGCTGCTCCAGGCTTTTCCAGTCCACACAGGGGGAGATAATGGTTAGGATAAAACCCATGGTACTTTTATCCTAAACTAGAATCGTCTTTGACACTTCTTCTCTACCTTTTTAAAACTGCTGGCCAATGTACTAACCTACAGGTTATCCCTGTCAGGCACAGCCTTTAAGTGCTGGACTGGGACCATTATTTCATTTCATGGCAGCTGTCAGACAGTATCTACATACTAATTGCCTTTTACCTTCATTGACTAAAAGTAATTTGAAACAATAGGCTCAGATGTGAAAAGATTTCACAAATAATCTTTGCTTCTCTATCTAACTTTTTAACATAAAGTTTTCCTAAAATGTCATTATTTGGTGGCATATCACAATAGAAAACCAACATTTAATGGTTACCCTATGAGACAAGTAAAAATAGAACAGTAATAGTCTTAAATTAGTTTTTCAGATTTTCAGAATTTACCTAATTATAATTCTTAATTTTTGAAGTATTTTATATATGTACTTTACAGACTTCTATCAGAAGATGTAACCTTGCAGCTCTGCTAGTTATTTCCAGTTCATTTAATAGTGATACATGGTACTTTGTCGTATAAGAATAAATCAATTTTTGCTTCCAGATATAATTTAAATGATTTTCTTTTGTATCTTTGCTCAGATCAATGATGCCACTATGCATTTTGGTTTTCCTCTCTGTTGCTACTCACTGTCTTATTTTAGTGAGGTATGCAAAAAGGAAACATGTTTAACATAAAGTCCAAGGAGAAAACCAGAATTCATTCACTGAAACATCATTCTGTGTCTCTGTATAATCACACATGTATTTCTATGTCTTAATCTCTTTTCTTTCTTCCCTCTTCACCAAGGCACGGACGATTCAAGCGCTCAAACAGCGTAACAGCAGCTGTCCAGGCTGATCTGGAACTGGAGGGCTTTCCAGGACACATCACCATGGAGGACAAGGGACTTCAGTTTGGCTCCTCATTCCAGCAGCACTCAGAGCCCAGCACGCCCACCCAATACAGTGCAGTAAGAACTGTACGGACACAAGGACTGTTCAGTTACAGAGAAGATTATAGGACCCCAGTTGACACCTCAAACCTTCCACCACCAGAACCCTGGCTAGAGCCTGCCATTGAGACAGTAGAGACTGGTCGAATGTCTCCTTGTCGACGGGATGGATCTTGGTTTATGAAGTTGCTGCATACTGAAACTAAGAGAATGGAAGGGTGGTGTAAAGAAATGGAAAGAGAAGCAGAAGAAAATGATCTTTCTGAAGAAAGTAAGAATATTTCAGTATCTTTTCTTATAGATGTCTGCCACAGTAAGAAATCTGTTAGGGTAAAGTTGCAGGCTGTATCTTTTCCTTACTCATTCTGTAGTAACAAAGATATAAGATCCATGTCCTGCAACTGATGATACAAACTGTCTTTTCCTGGAGTAAGGTTCTGTAGCAGTTGAGGAGCCAACTGTAGCATCTAGTGCACGATCGAAGTCTGGGCATTAGAGACAGCTCAAATGGTGCAACAGCTCCACCCACAGCTCCACCTCTGACACATTATTCCCACTCATGCCTTCGGTGCTTGACTCTCTGCCAGAGCACACAAGGTGGTCCTACATGGACATCTTTTTTTGCCATTTTCCTGAAACCTGAGCATTTGCCTCTTATTAATGATCAGCCATTTTTAACATCTTTTCATTTCTACACAGGCACTTCCGCCTGTCATAAAGGGTCTGCTAGAAGTACAGAAAGGAGTAGGCAAAAACAGTAGTTAAAGCACTTCTGCAGTTACACAGGTATATGTGCTGTTAGATAGTTCAGCTGCATTTTCTTATTATAGTTTTGTCAGGAATCATTATTACTCTCTCACATCCTGTGAACATCGTGAAAGGAGTGATGAGATAAAGTGAAAAATAATGTAGACTATTTTGGAACAAGATCCAAGCCAGCACTAATGATAGTAATATATCAAAGTGGTCCTAGTACTCAGTAGCCAGCTCCCTGTGATTCCCTCTGAGGTCAATTATCCTTGCTCTTCAGGCTCAGTTTTTATAAATATTTCAGTCCCTGCCAATCTGAATTATTGTCTCATCTGAGATTTTCTCAGATCACAAATTAGTTCATATTAAGTTTTCTTACTAGCATCTTTTCCTGCACTCTCACAAATCTCACCATTGCCACTGAATACTCTTTCCTAATCATCTTCTTTTCCCCTCAATGAGTTCTTGCCATGATCTACCCTCAGGTCTTGAGTCAGGCCTGCATGGTGACTAAAAGGCCAATTTCTTTTTCTTGCACTGACCTCTTCAAAAGGAAGAATGTCTAGGTTTTTACTTCATCATTTTTTATTTTACAGTCATATTTCTCTGGTATGTTATGTACAAGTCTGCCAACACAAGAATAGGGGTTGGGAGAGCGTATGGTTGCTTTTCTTCCTTCAGTCTCCTCTGCTTTCTGGAATGTGGTTTTTGTCCTTCTTTTCATCATGGCAGAGCTGAGCTGACAGTTTTCCCTTTGCATTGGTATTATGAAGACTAAAACCCTCCTAAGGGCTGTTATAGTACAAATAATATAATATTTTGCTTTGTTTAGCTAATGTGAGGATTTCCAAGCCTTCTTTCATAATGGTTATTTTGTTAACAATTTTTTTTTTACTGCATGCAACTTCTTTTTCAATCCCCAAAACTTTGCACTGCTGAATACTGACATTTCTGTGCCATCATTAAGTATCCCAAAGCACCTGCTTCCAACATTGCTTTTTACTGATGCAGGGATATCAGTGCTTACAATCGGACACAGCAGTTCAAAGAACAAGACTGATCTCTTTGGAAAGAGTAAAATTATTAGGGAGCCAAGGGGAGAAACACACAGCCAGTCAGCCCCTCTCCTTCCCTAGGAGACCAGTGGGGAGTCTGCAGGCAAGGGTGTGGGCTTTTCCTACCTCCTCTCTCTGAAAGCTCTTTCTCATGAGCAGCCCTAATCAAACCTGCAGCCACATGAAATGTGGCTATAATGTCAGTACTCTTTCCTCACTAGAAGGCACAGTGAAGGAGTTAGCTGTGTTATTGAATATGACACTGTACTACGTTAAGAAAACCTGGAGGAGCTGGTTTTAGCTGACTGCCCATTCCAAGATGCAGAACCGTCCCTCCCATCATGTGAAGCTATGCTCTTGCACTCCAGAAATAGTCTGAAACGCCTTGCTGCATGGGGAAATGGAAATTAGGAAGGGAGTTTTCAGGAAATTGTACAGAAGGACATGAAGACAAATTGGATTTTGGTAATTTTTATTGACATTTGAAGTTAGTGACACCCTTTTAACCTGGAACATTTCAGTCAGAAAACAAAGTATCAGGACTTTATATTTCCCCCTTTGCAGAGTGACTCTACACTGCAAGAGAAGAAGAAAGTGCAATTCCCTGATACACAGTTACTAAAGTACAATGGAAATAGACCCTTGAAATTCCCTTTTTAAACTAATCAAAATGGGTTAATTACTTGTGTTTGGGGCAACATTTTGACCTCCCTAAGAGATTAAAGAAATTATTATAGAATAGGTCTATATAGCATATGCAAAACTAGAAGTTTGTCTTCACCTGATTGTCAAAAGACTTCTGATTTTCCCTTTGATAAGACTCATTTCAAGAGATCTTCCTCAAATAATTTCCAAATTACATTGCCTTTGAAATGGGCTCCAATATAAACCTAATATAGCTTATATCAAGTGAAATTAAGTTATCAAAGAATTATTTTCACTAAGGGAATAGGTTTCACAGCATTTTAAAATTTCAGTGTGAATGTTTTTTTTTTCCTTTTGACATATTTTATATCCCCAGTTTGAGCTATGAAGGTTGAAAGGTATGTATCCATGAAAACTGAAGTTTAACAATATCCCAGTATGAAATGTATCTTGACATATTTAAGCATTTGGCAGTTCCCTGAAGAAAATATACGCAAATGGTGGAGGCAGAAGCAACTGAATGTGTTTTCCCATCTTCCAGCAGGAGCTACTATTCCCAAAACACTTCACAGCAAAGTTTGCACATTCAGACTGTCATTGCTGATGCTGAATCGTTTATTTTTGGCCTGGTTATATTAATTGTACCTGAAGACCAAATATAGCTTTGCACCCCTTAGGAGAAGGCTGTCTTTATGACACAATTTCCATTTTGTTTTAAGCATGGGAAGAGTTAAAATAGAACTGTATTTTAGAAAACAATTCCATATTTTGTGTTAACACAATAGCCTTGAGATCACAGAAAGCTGCCTGATTGCTGTATTGATTTTTTCTTTCACTGTAGCTTTTCTCCCATAATGTTGTTTTAAGACCTTCACTCATCAGGTCTTAGGAAAGGAGAAGATAATCTTTACAGCAAAAATAACATCTTTTTTTCACAGAATTTTCTTATTTGGTCAGGTGCCATGAATTGTATTTTTGAACCTTTCAGAGTTCATATATTGTTTGTGGGAGCAGTTATTTGTGTTGTCAGTATTAATTATAACATATATAGATATATAAAACATATATGTGGCTGTAACTGTTCCCAGGGTAAGTCATCCAATGATTTGCACTAGCAGGGTGCTTCAAGCAAAGATAACGTGTTTCTCAAGGGTCCTGACTGGAGTTTTGGCTTTACATCCTGAAAATTGTGTTTGGCTCTTAGTGGTGTATCAGTGATGAAGAGAAAAACACTCTCAATTGTCACAAAGCTATTGAAGGCCAAAAGGGGCAGGACTCTGACACCTGCCTGTAAGCTCTGTGATGAGAGCAGGGAGGGGGAGAGCAGGCAAGCCCAGGGAGATGCAGTGCCTGCTCACAACTTGTAGGTAACATCTAGCAGAGGGAAGCAGGAGACATGCTGGGCTTCTGAATGTCACATGCTTGGCTACTGAAGTATTTCAGTACATGGTTCAAAGGGAGAACAGCCACACAGTTTACTCTTATATAAAAATCCTAAGGTAGGTAAAAAAAAAAACAAACAAAACCAACCATAGTATAAAGTATGCCGGCAGAAAGATATTTTGCTGGTATCATCTGCATTATGGTCAGGAGCTCTACTGGAATAGCTGGCATAGTAAAGTGAACTCTAGTGGGAGAAAATCGGCATTAGAGTGGGAGCTCAAAATATCACCCTCCTCTCCCCTTACCCCTTCATTCTGTGGATGCTGTATTTTTCCTTGGTAATACTTTGGCTTATATTTCCACAGTATTGCAAGGGCTTTAATAACAGAGCCAAAAAGTAACAGAAAACATAGAGTTAAATCTCCCATGCTTTGAGAACCCGCACCCTCCCGCCTCCTCTCACCCAAAAAAAAGCCTACAACTAATTTTAATATATTCATCAGTCATCCATAGAAGCTTTCTTAGGTGTTTGACCAAATATAAGTGATCCTTTAACCAAAGAGAAGTGATTGACATGATTTCCTAATGCTTTTTGCAAACCTGTCCTTCAGGAACTACTGAAATTTATATTTGGTATGTTGCGAATGACTGTAGAATGTCTTAATTCCCCTGGAACAGTCTTTAAAGTTCCATAGTGTGGAATCTGATAATTTCTCCTAACATTTGTATTGCTCTCCTCAAATTTTCTTCTCTTTGATCTCAGCTCCATTAAGGTAAAAAGAAAATCTGCACCAAGTCCCATTGGTGTGCAAAGACTCCATTGCCTGACCTGCCCTCCAGAGCATTGCAAACTTGTAGCTGTGCCATCCTAAAATGTCATCTCACTCTGAATGTTATACATTTATTATTGCACTTACTTGCTGTGTTGATAGTAAGACATATATTTCTGAAGATTACTAATTTAGGTTTAGAGATTAGCCAAATATTATGCCATGCTTTGAGTTAGGAGGATAAACTAAATGCCTGCCAGTTTCAATATTTTTTCCAAGCACATATACTTCGATTGTTTGTGGGGAAATTTATTTAAGAGTATAGAAAAAAATGGAACAATCAAATGGAATGAAAATTTAAATTAAAACGTGTCATTTAAATAAGCAGTAATGAATGCCAGAAGCAGATTTATCGTTAGTAGTTTCTTATTGCTGGTGCAGCAGTGGCACAATTGAGCAAAGCTTTTAACCTGTCAAGAATAGAGTTACAGCATCAGACTATAATCTTGATTCATCAACATAGATCTAGTTTCCCCCCGTCTACCTTTGTGATAAGAAACCATTTTCAATTACAAGATTTTGTAGCATTCCATAACCAATACAACATATATATATATTACTTGCAATTTTGTAATACACTTATTGAAGGGGAAGAGACCCCATTGTGTTAATTGTGCATGTTGCATACAGGCAATTTACAAAATCTCTATGCTGCATATAAATCCTGAGTCTGCTTCTACTGAAGTCACGGGCAGGGTTTTGTACGTTTTCAGAGTAGAAGCCATACAGGACCACACAACAAAAATGAAGTGCTTCATATGCTGCAGGGAGCAGAATGATTGTTGTGTGACTCTCCTCACGTTCAAGTAAATACAACATTATCTTAATGGAGGGAGGATATGGATTATATGAAAGTTATATATATTTGTGTGTGTTGGTAGATTTTATCCTCATTTATCTATAAGCAAATTCTTCTAGGCATTACCAAACATCTCAATTTCTCTAGCCTCTAACATACATCATTCTTTCATGGAGATAATCAATCTGCACTCATCAGCATAATTCCCCAATGCATGAAATTAATAACAAGGCTTTGGCTGTCTATTAACATTGTGCTAAAGATTATGAGTTGAAGTGTTTTAATACTTCAATTTAATTACAGCAAAGCAGAGTAGCATGAATATGAGAGATTGTAACTTCTATGTTTTCTTACATCTGATTTACTTATTGAAATGGAAAAAGATCTTTAGTAAATGGTCGGGCTGTAATTACAGATGTGTATTCACTGCTGTGACTCAGTGACACATGCAAGTAGCCCAGAACTACTCTTACATTCCCAACTGATGTGTATCACACACTTGGAGGTATTCTAGGCCAGACTGGATAGAGCCTTGGGTGACATGGTTTAGTGTGAGGTGTCCCTTCCCATGGCAGGAGGGTTAGAACTAGATGATCTTCAGGTCCTTTCCAGCCCTATCTATTCTATGATTTTATGATTCTATGATCACACCAAGATGCTGCATTGCCAGTCTAAGTCTTGTCTGGTCTGACTGGGCTTTAAATCAGCAGGGTTTGTTAACATTCTCCTTCAGGATAATGAAGATAAAGCAAATGTTTATTTAATATGGGGGTTGGGGTAACTGTGAGATTCACAAAAATATTCTGTCAAGATCAACTTTTCGGCAGTTGGGCAAAAAACACTGCCTTTTATTCAGGCTATGCATTTGAGCTATGGACTATAAAATTCAGTGGAGGATACTAAAAATGAACTTTACTCACTCTGAAACAAGCACTACAATCATCAGCCTACAGAATCATCCTCAGTCTCTTTCTGCTCAGTGAACAGCTGAACACAGTGTGGAACAGGCAATGTCAGGGACCTGCTACAGCACAATTCCCCATCCTGGCAAAGAAGGGACTCAGACCCCACGTTGGGAGTTCATTTTATGTCCTGAGCTACAGAGCACCAAGGGGAAAGTGGAATACAAGGCTATTTGCCACTTAAGTCTGTGCCTTTATTAAAAATACTAAAAACCAAATTAAAGCAATTTGTTTCAGATAGAATGAAACATTTATTATTCTTCTTCTTTTTATTATTATTTAGATTTTTGTATGTTTGTTCAGCTTTTAACACCCAAAACATTGCTTTCCGTATACCAATAACTCTGTAGAAGAAGATGAGGGGTTTAGTGATCAAAAACCTCAAATCAATTAAAATGCTTTATTCCAGCTGGCCAGCAAAGCAAAGCAAAACAAAACCAAACCTCAGTGAATTACTCACTCAGCCCTGAACAACTTCACCCTTTCACAAAAAGGTGACACATGGGACTGATGATTTAGGCATACTGATGTTTAATTTAATGATGCAGTGCAGTTGTACTGTTTGTCTAACAAAAAATGGAATAGAGTTTGAGAACCACAGCTCTACATATTAACACGTTTTGAAAGTTACAGAATCTGTTTCTACAGAACTTGAGCCTAAAACTTCTGTGCCTAAAGCTTATCTCCTGCTGCTACCTGTGGTTAAGCAGATGTTTCACTAGTTTAGAGAAAAGCAACATAAAAACTTAATACCTCTAACAGAACTACTGTTTCCACATGCCATTCAGTCCCCACCCGTACTTATTCTAAATAACAACAAAATGTAAAGCCCTGCCAGAGCTGAATGTTTTCTGTATCACAGGCTGTAGATCCATTCTGCTGTGCTATCTGTATCTTCATTCCACCCTCTGCATCCTGTTTCAATTATCAATTTGTTTTCTTCCAATTAAATTAAAAGATGTCAGAGTAATTCCTGTCTCACACCTACCTCTGCCTTTCTCAGGCTTTACCTTAACTATTGTTTAAAGATCTGGAAGTTCTCCAGAAAAAAATCAGTTTTCTATTGAAACCCCAGCTTATAATGCTTTTTAAAGTTTTGCTTTTTTTCAGCTTAGAGATGGATGTGGAAGAAAGGAAGTGTAGGAAAGAACATGTAGGAAGGAAGTGTAGAAAAGTATACTGCTACCTACAAATTATGGTATTTATCCCAGCAAATGTGGGAGTCTAGGAGGAGTTAGATTCCTAGGGATAAGCCACTCCCCTTAGGCATTCCAGCCAATAGAATGAAACAGGCATCTCCAGTAAAAGATTCAGCTCATCTGAAAGTGAGTGCCTAACAAACATGGAGGAGCTGATGAGCTTGGATTGCTGATCATAAAGCACCCAGAAATATTGATTTAGACAGATGACTCTTGGAAGTAAAATCAAGTAAAATGAATTTTGTCCCTTTCTCCAATGCTTAGGCACACTGTAAATTGCAAGTTCACTGACAGTAGGGAAAGCTCAAGGTACTGTGGGGTCTGATCATGATCCAGCAAAGACCTGAAGCACTCATTTTTGTCCTACTTTGTTGGAAGCTCCTATGCTTAGGACTTTGTGTATTTCCCTGGATAGGCAACCTGTAACTGCTGATGCTGGTACCAAGACATGTTTCAGAGATATGATTCCTCTAAGGAACTCATCCTTGTGGTAGGAATATCTTATGTTACAGTGTAATATATTAGCCCTACCCCCAGAACACAGCTCACCCAGGGATCATCCACGCAACTGAATGAAGTCATTTGTGACTACAGAACTAGAAGATCTAAAGTACATGTAAAGTGCTTTTTGACATTGGAGGGAACAGGCATCTAACTGATTTCAGTTTACATGAGTAAATGTAAATGGAGGGGCAGGGGGTGTAATTTACTTTGAAATTTAAGGTTGTTCTCAAAAACATGAATGTGTGCTCACTTCAGGAATCTGTCTGTACTCCCTTTTCTGCTTCCTTAAGCAAATACAGTCTTAGCTGTTCTGACATCAATATATCATTTGTTATTGCCAAAGAATAAGGTGCCTTTCCTATATCTCTTTTTCCAAAAAGTAAGAGCTTTCCTATATCTCCATCTTTTTCAGAAGTATTTTACATATATAATAGCAAGCAACAAAAACAAGTATTTACTTCCCTTATAAAATAAACAGTAATTTACATAATTTTTTAGCTGCATTTTGCATTTACTGCCAAAAAAACACCTATTGGTAATAATTTGTCTGCATGCTTAGTCCTAGGTAAGATCCGCAGTGCTGTTGGAAGTGCTCAGCTCCTCATGTCTCAGAAATTCCAGCAATTTTATTGGCTTTGTCAGCAAAATCTGGTAAGTAACTGTGCCTGGCCATTCTTGAAGAGTTTAATGCTATTCATCCATACATATTCCACAGAATATAACTAAATTTTAGAATTTACTATTTTTACATCAAAGGCAACAACAAAAACACATATAGTGTACCCAAACAGTAGCATTCTGAAATGTCATTTTCATGTCTCAAACTTTGTCTTACTGCTCCTTTTTTGTGTTTTTTTTTAATTTAAAGTATGTTGTTAGGATATTTTTTTATATATTTTTCAAAAAAAAACCTCGTAATTTCAGAATTTCAGCCTGGCTGTTTTGTCTTTTACTTTTTTCCTGCCTTTATTGAGAATAAAATAAAAAAAAAAAAAAAGAGAAAGGAAGAAATGCAAATTTTCTGATACATAATATTGTGGCTTATTTTTGCAGTACCTAAAATAGTAGTTGTATTTCTGGTAATGAAGGAGAAAATTTTAGCACTACAGTAAGTGGAGAACAGTAAAATAGCAAATTAGGGGAGAATGCATGTTCCAGCTTTCTACCTGTCTGAAAATAGGACTGATCTTGGAAACAAGAATATAGATAATGTTAATAAAATTGGGTTTCATAATTTGCATCGCCAATTATACATAAGATATCCTAGGGCTGAAAGAACAGATGCAGTCTATTCCTTGTGAGAGTTAACTGCTATTGTTCTGGAAGTGCATTAGAGACTAATTCAATTCTAAATGTTATCTTCATTAATATGACAGCAGCCATCCGTGATACACTCATTGTGGCAAGATGATACTAATCAACAGAAGAACGTAATTCATCTAACTACAGCTAGTGGTAGAGCACCTTTCTTTGGCTCACTTGGAAATCAAGTGTAATTTTCATCTTTTGGCTGCCCTTACACCATTATGTATTAAAAGGGCTGAATTCTGTTGTGTGCATGATAGCAGACATGACCTCTATGTCTGGTTAGATACATTTCTTTACATGCTAGTATTTGCCACATAACTTCTTAAGGCAAAATGTTAATTCTTCATAAACCTACTTGTTACTTCCCATCCATAAAATTAAACGTCCAGAATTCCTGAAAATGCAATCAAATATTACTGAGAAAGTCATGCCAAAAATGTCCTACTCTCTGATAGAAAATGGTAAGATATATGGTCCTCATTAGGAAAGAATCCAATTATCCACTTCAAAGACTCTGTCAAAACAAGAATTTTAATAGCTGTTACAGAGTGACAGAGGAAATATGCAAAGTCAGGCAAGCAGGAGATGACCACTTTTGAAATATGAAATACATTATGTCTGCTCCCTATCTAGTCATTTGTTTCATAGCGAAAGGAGGAAATCTTCATCAATGTCTAAAAGTTTCTCACTGCAAATTTCAAAGTGCCCTCCGTTACCTGATTGATGAAGCTATGCAAACTAAGATTTGGAGAGCCTAACCTCCTCTCCACTTCATTTATCTTCAAGTGAGTCCAGCACTTGTGCTCAAGAGCATTACTGTAATAACAAGGGCAGCTCCTGCTCAGCACGGCTGTCAGAGGTTTGGAAGCGTGAGCAATTCATTACAGCAAAAGCAATAGGAGCACATTGAAAAATCTACAGTTTTGCAGACAATATGACCAAAAAACTGGCAAGATTTTACTTCTCTCATTCTGATTTGGACAATAAACCTCTGAACTCCGTAACAGCAGCTTTATCCTACTCTGAAGATGTAGGCTCTGAATATTCCTTAGCTTCATTAAATCAGCAGTGGGCTCTGCAGAAAGCAGCAACTGCAGAACTAGACTTTTATCTCATTCATGTTTTGAGGCTTTTCTTCCTATGCCTATCAGCTGAGTTTGTTGTTAAATAGTCACTTAGTGAGCAGGCTTTATATATGCTCCTAAGGCAGCATCTCTGTGCCTCACAGTAGCGCTGCCAGATAGCACCTTTCCCCCATTTGAAAACATGTAGCACTTACGGGACTACCACACAGCAGTTTCTCTTAACACTGTTCAACGGCAATAAGCATAAAAGTAGGACAAAGAACAATGGTGTTTACTTATGCCAATTCAAAATGCAGCAGTAGTTTAGGAAGAGGAATATACTTACTTATACTGAAATTTAACCAGGAAACTCGCCCATCATCTATGGACTTTTTCTAAAGGGTCATGGGATCTTCAAGTGACACATTTGATTATGTAGTGGGTTAAGATTTCTTACCAAAGATTTTCACTTAGGGTAAATCCATAGAAATATAAGCTTTGATGAAGTTGTTTTTAAGAATCTGGCTGGCTGTCTCCTGCAGCGTACTGTTCCACTAACTGCTGGAGAAAAAAAAATCACTACTCCCTTCTGCATTATTCACATTATCTCTTGTAACACCCTGTTTTTAATTTGACATATCCTCCTCCATACACTCTAGTCAGCACAGATCCTGCTCAGCTCGTGAGGTCATCACTCAATATGTCATGGTTCTGGGCAAAACCAGAGCATCTCAAGCACCTGCTAGATACTGCTAGGCTTTAAGTGCTTTAGGCTTCCTTCAGAAGGAGGGCTGCAGAGCTGAATTCCAAAGAAGGTACAAACAAATTAGCAGCTTCTGAGAAGGAACTGGTTTAAGCCAATCTTTTCAAAACTTAGTTAGCTGTAATAGTAATCATTTGTGCCAGGGTTTATCCATGGTCTGCGGATCCATAAGAAACAGCAGCAGGAGGCAGCCCTCTTGTGTCCACGCAATGCATGGCACACTCCTCTGCAAGCAGCTGCGCTGGAGGTTGCGATCTTCCCAAACACAATGAGCAGAGTGGGGTGAACAGAGGTACAGGAAAACAATTGGCCTTGATTCAGAAGGCAATGACATTTCAATGAGTGGCATAATTTCATGACTGTTTAGAGGAAACTGGGAAGAGGAAATGAGAAGACCAGGCTGGAGAGAACAGATTGCAATGTAAGATACAATGTTATGGGACTATCCTGGCAGATTTCGCACAGAAAGTCAGCTCCTGAAGCCTGAGATGTTGACCTCTGTAGAGTAACTAATACACTGACATAAATTTTAAATGGTTTTGGAGCAAATTGGGATCTACCCAAGTAAGTTGGTTTTGAGGAACACTAATCTAGAGATGTATCATGTTTCCCAGAAGTCTGTTATAATCTATATGGACAGGTCTGCTGAGTCCCTGAAGCTTCCTAAGAAAAGGAGATGTTCTTCTAGTAAAGAAGACTTCTAAGTGGATAGGTTTTTAGGCTGCTTCTTGGCCCAGATTCCTAAAAGGGTTTAGGTATGGGTCACACTTCATGTTGTAGTGCCCAGCTCCAAGTACTCAGCTCCCACATTGGCATCTGCAAACCAAGTTTGAATAGCAAGTCCTAGTTTAAGACCCTTATATTCAAGGGAGAAATTCAACAGAAATTCTGACTTACCTGCCGGGTTTTAGGCAACTATATGGAGTTGTGCTGAATATCTAAAACGCTTCTTTGTCCACTACATTTGTGAAAGATGGGGTACAGAGCCTTGCTTCAGCAATAACACCAGTGTTTCTAACGGTAAAATAGTCATTACAGCTTTCACCCAGAAAAGGGGAGATACAGAGTCCCTTTGGCCTGATTTTGACTCCATCCATTCTGTAGACACTTTGATGGCTCCCTTCTGCACTGAAAGGGAAGAGACATTTCTCCATCATCTTCACAGAGGTGTTGACCAGTTAAGCCCTATTTCATTAAAATGACAAAGCTGTCTTCTTGAACAAGTACCAATACAGAGCACAGGGTTAAGTCTGCATACAAAATTGTCTTTTTTATCCAGAACTGATACCAGGTTAATGGTCAAATGGAGGTTCACCTTGCTAATTGTTACCACCATTGTTTGTTCCATTAAGTCTTGTGCACATAGTGCCACTTAATTGCAGTACCTGTGTGTAGTGCTTCCCAATGCCTGAGCATGATTCGACTCTCTGGAGAACAAAAGTCTACCATCCCCCATCAAAATTCCATGCCTTATGTATACATTTGAAAATGCAAAACAATGCAAACATTGAATTCAGCATAAGCTGACTACTTCTTCGTGGCATTATTTTACCTTCTGATCAGCTACCATGAATGCAATTTTTAACCAGAAAGACTTCAGGCTGTCTAGAATATGAACCACGTTCCCTTTTCCTTTAATAATCACCAGGCAGAGGCTTGCTTGCTCCTATTTAGGAATGCAGGTCAGCACAGCATATGGTGCTAAGGAGCTTCCCGTGCTGCATGGAATCAGGAATGCTAGCGTAAGACATCCAACTCATTCATTTTTGGGCTGTGTAGGAGGCACAACTTTCCAGTCACAGCTCCAGGCTGTAAAGTGCGTGTAGACTTAGCACTGAGCAGTACTGTAGCAATGTAATCTGGCGTGATGCCTTTGCTGCCTCAAAGCATGTTGTTTAAAGCCTTCTGGTTTATTCAGATTGTCTCCTTTGTGACAGGACCCGAGTGCCATGCCGAGGCCAACTTCCCAGGACCTAGCAGGTTTCTGGGACTTATTGCAGCTCTCAATTGAAGACGTCAGCATGAAGTTTGATGAACTGCACCATTTGAAACTCAATGAATGGAAAATAATAGAATCACCTGAAAGGAAGGTAAGCAGACCATGGACAATACCATTTACTCCCCATTTGTAGTCCTGCAGTCTCCTTGTCTTAAATACAACAGTGAATACAATAGGTTTCTAACTCCAGAAAGTATCTAATTGGTACGGCCCAATTTATACGTGGAAACCTTCATCAGATGTGAGGGTTTTTTTCTTTTTAACAATGATGAGCTGAATTGTGTAACAAATAAAATGGATTTTACTAAGTTAGTTTACTCCGTAACACTTTTGTTCAAATTACTTAAATTTGCATTCTAAAGACTAGAACTTAAATATGTCCTGATTAATTCAGAATGAGGACAACAGCCCAAGAATCCAATCAAGGTAAACTCAGCACTGTTCTACATTTGGGGCAGCTCAAATCTGAGCACTACACTGTTTAATCCTGCCTGCATGACACAGCTGATACTAGAACAGGACTGAGTTAAACGCATGTGGCAAAACATAGCACAAGTCATACTAAGTCTTGGCCCACAAAGACTGGGGGACAGAGAGTCATTCCTGCACATCTGCCCTAAAACTCCACCACCTGGGAGACACCCCAGCCACGATGCTTACAAACCGAAGGTGGCATATTGCCCACAAAAGCAATGTAATTCTGAAACTGTCTTCCCCTTTCTAGAGCTCAGCCCCTCACCTTGATTATCCCATTATCCTTCCTGAGTATTTTATCAGTCAGATGAAGACAGCATTTGGTTTGAGTCAGTACTGTTGGCCTCAGGTGAATACTTGTTTGGTTTGGGAGGAATTAGGAGGCATTTTGACAACTCTTTCATTTCTTCATGCTCCTCTTGGATTTTAATTTTCAGCCAACGGGTTGGTGGATGGTGAGTTTGCAACTCTTGCTTACTAGTGACAACTGGAAGTAAGAAATTATTATAGTGACAGCAACAGTGATGTTCCTAAGAGGGAAATTACTAAAAGTGAAGGGGAAAAAAAAAGAAAAAAATGATGGGACAGCAGGAATGGAGCCGTTATGTTCCTGTCTGAAAACAGGAAACAAAGAAAATTAATGCTGGAAGAGATGGCTGTCATGGGGAATAGCATCTTAGGCTGCTGCACTGTTCCTATTGAGATGAGACTGCAGAACTCTGTTCTTAAATAACATTAATTATTTAGACTTCGCTAAAGCATTTTGGCAATAGACTCAGAATTAGTTTAAACAAAAGAAGACCGAACACTGAGCAGTGTAAACCATAGGTGAATCAGTTCCATTTTTGTATTATTTGAATCCTGCTGTGCATCAAATTAACTGTGTTCTCCATAAGGAACAGCCCATACTCTGGACTATTGCTATTACTCTAAGAAGTGATATAGCAATCGATCATAATAACAATACTGTACACGTGAAGTTGTGGAGTCTCCATCTTTGGAGCTATTCAGTCCAGTATTAAATATAATGTTGAAAAACCTGCTTTAACTTCAAAGTTGCATCTAATTTCAAGTGGGTTTTGAATACGGGTTGTACAAGATCACCTCCAGACATCCCTTCCAATGAAAAGTATTGCATGATTCTACATCTGATTCTATGTTATCTTTTTCAAGGCTCTTATTTCATATTTCACCATCTAAATGGAGTAAAATATCAATTTCATACTTCAAAACAATTCTTCATTTCAAATCTGCAGAGCAATTTACAGCTACTTTGGTACCAAAATCTTCTGACTCTCACTTTATAATTTGATAATTCTTCACTATAATTTTCTTTTAAATGGTCCAGGCTGGCAAGCAGAACAATTAGCCCAATGTTCCCTCTCTGGCTGGTGGTTGCATGTTTCCATTCAGCAATTCATGGAGGAGACTAAACTAATACACAGCTGCTATCTCATATCCAGCTGAGCCTAAACTCAGTATGATTAATTTAATTAAACATGCTGTCCTGCTAATCTTAGACAGTCTTTTCATTTGATCAGACCACGCAGATGCGCTGAATTCTTATTGGAGAGCCAGTGTGTGTTTCTGTTTATAATGGATGTAATAATGTGTCAGCTAAAATTAAAAATTCATAAATTCTTATGAAAGGGAGGTATGTAGATTGCATGTGCCGGATACCTGCAAGGCCAGTAGAAGAAGTTTTTTAGAAGGCACAGGACTGCAGAATTTGTGATGGCTGCTGAAACAACAGGGTGTTGCCAGTATCCCTAGTGCAGATAGCTATTCATGTAACCTATTAGTCAGCTGACTGGAGAGCACAACTTGAGCATGCTTGATGTATGTAGCCAGTATTTTGCATTTCATGTCTTTGATTTGCATGCTCTACTGACAGTATCTTCTGCACGCAGTTCACCCTCAGTTTTAATACCCTGTTGCAGGAAGAAAGAAAAGTTCCTCCTCCTGTACCAAAGAAGCCCCCAAAAGGAAAATTCCCTATCACAAGAGAAAAATCTCTGGACCTACCGGACAGACAGCGACAAGAAGCTAGAAGACGGCTAATGGCTGCTAAGAGAGCAGCCTCTTTCCGGCAGAATTCAGCCACAGAGCGTGCAGACAGCATCGAGATATATATCCCAGAGGCTCAAACCCGGCTTTAAAGACAGAATGCTGCAGAGTTCCTTTTTTAAACAAATGCTTGTACAGTTTGTCACTTACCTGGTAATTTTTGTCTCATTCTCTCCACTAAATATGCCCTTGCTGTTGTGTTCTTTGTGCCATAAGCACAGTGGAATGCTTTTGATTTCCTCAGAATTTGCTGAGCTCACCGCAAGAACGACTTCTTTTTGTATTTATTGTCTGACTTACAATCAGCTACAATGGATAGGGCTTGTCGAGACCTGACTTATCCAATATATTCTCAGAGGACAACAAGAAACACCTCTTGAGATGGAACCCAGCTTACTTTTTTGTTATTTATATTTTTATAAAATGTGTGATAATTAGGGATAAGAATAACAAACTATAAATGGGTGCATCTCACCATTCACTAGAGGCATTAGCTAATCCAAGTAGAAGGTGCTACAAATGTAAAGAGCAGGAAAGAAAGAACCCATTTATCTCTCTGACCTCCAGTTTCTTTTCCTAGAACCCAGCTAATATATTTACCCATGTGCTCTGCCACTCTTCTCATCTTTGTTACTGCAGAATAACATTAGGCCTCTCATGTCATGTCAAGTTTCTGGAGATGAACAGGGATATCCAGCCACTAAAACTCCAAAGTTCATCAGAAACCAAGAAGCGTACAAGTCTGGTGGTGGTGGGAATGCCCACTGAGAAACGTTTGCTGTTAGCAGTATAACGACACTCTGAAACGTAAGCAAATTTATAATGCAAGAGGACTTGAGTGATGGGTGAAAGGAAAACGGAAGCCTTAAAAAGTTAGATCTTCTGTAGCAAGATGTGTAAAGAAAAAGTTATACTCGCTCCTTCGGAACACTCATTGCATTTTTAACAGTTCTTTTCCGTGTTAACCTTTATTTTATAAATGTTCTCTCTTTCATTTCAAGAGCTGTGCTACATGGAATATTTCAAATGCTCACAATGTTCTAACAATTGAGTTTCCAGGGTATCCTTGAGAAAAAAAAAGAAAAAAAAAAATCTTGCTTGTTTAAAATGCCAGTTGTGATGTTGTAAACAGTTTAAGAAATATGAATGTGAGTGGTAAGTATATCTAAGTTTAAATGGTTATGTTAAGGTAAAGGTGAACTGTGGTTTACAGCTGTATTTTTTTTTTTAGAACTATTTTTCTATGCAGTATCATTTATGGCAAGAAGAAGCTTCTTGCTTGCTTCAGACATAAAAAATAAAAAATGTGGTTGAAGAGATAAGTCATTTCCAGTTATGGAATATAGGAAAAATCATATATTTTTGAGCCTCACATTGTCAGAAGAGAGAAGTGGTAACTGCCACAGGTAAGAGGCTTTAATTTAAAACAAATTAAGACAGAATTATTCCACTTCACCTACCTTCCACAGCAACTGAGCAACCCAGCACTTAGAAGTCTTCAGGTGAAGACGCAATAAGACGAGAATCCCACAGCCCCCAATTCCAAGGTTTGAATCCTACTGAGCACTACTTTAGGTCAAAACAGTTCAAACCCAGTGAGACAGACAGCCCCAACTATCACATCCCCTGTATTTCTGCTGTAACAAATGCAATGTATTTAGCCATAGGCAGAACAGCTATTTAATTCTACTCAAGCACTTTGGTTCTTCACCTGATGAGCACTTTAAATCTGAATCCCATGCACCCTGCAGCCCGATGGATGACTGAAAACATGAAGTATTGTAGGTTATGCAGATCTGACATTGCTTCAAATCTGTTTTGGTTTGTTTTGTTTAATTTTTCCTTTTTCCTTCTCTTTTTTCCTACAGTGTGTAGTATTAAGCATGAGTTCTGTCTTTGGAGCACAGCTGATAAGGCATGTTTAGCTTCAAGATATGAATTTGTAGAGATGAAGTTTTGAGAAATTTCTGTGAGGAGAAAACCCTCTAAATCGAGCCTGATATCTGGTATATACTTTACCAAATAGCCTTAAACTATATTTGGAAGCAAAAACCAAGACGAATGTATATCCTTCCAAAATGCAAAAAAAAAAAAAAAAAAAAAAAAGGAAAAAAAAAGAATAAAAAAAGAAAAAAAAAAGAAATCCCTGAGATATTCTTCTATAGATGAAAACATTATATTTCCCAACCCTCCTGTTTTCAAGGCATTTTCTATTAAGGAAAGAGCTGAATCCTAGGTAGTGTACAATATCGATGCTGCTTCCTGTATTTGTTGTACTAGTTTAAATAAAAATGTACCTGCAGACATTGGCATCTTTAATCTTGGAAACTGATGTCTTATTCAAAGTGGAGCTGCTAAGTAGGAATATCCACACAAAACTAAAGCCAGTGTCTTTCCTAGATTTAAGAAATTTAAAATAGACACAGACACACCTATACATACATGGCAGCTGATAGATATTGTCTAATTTTCCTGTACAATTCAAGGAGAAATCACACTTGACTTACTCGCTTGAAAATCCCCACTTACAGCTCTGGGTCATGTGATTAAGACAAGCTGTATTTGATCCTGCCACTAATCAGACTTTATAAAGACAAATGGTAAAAATAACAGATTACAGATAAGCTTAGATCCCAGCTGACCTAATAATGCTGCCTTGGGGCAGTCCATGTAACTCCTTATTTTAGAATCATATTTTGATAAGGTTTTTTATGTGTTGAAATTTTATTGGTTGTTCTCTGGCAAAAACAGGCCTGCGTGAATGATGTCAGCCCATTTCCCATGCCATTATGGGAGAAATGTTCAATATAAGCTTTGCATATCTTTGATTTCTGTTGGTTCTGCCTTTGTCCCCCCAAAAGAAAAAAGAATCAAATGTTAACTAGATGCCTACTGAAAAATCTGATGTTATCTGTGCATGTTACATTTCAAAGTGCAATATATTAAACTGTTGTACAGGTAACATTCTATCATTAAAGGCAAATAAGCCATTTCAATTTACATGTTGTACATCTGGTCAGTTTAGAAAAATAACATTATGCTTATCATACTTGTGTTGCAAATAAATCAAAGTCAAATTGCTTCAGTCCCTGACATGAGAAACACAGCACGTGGTATCCTAATATACGTATAAACAGATCAATTGTAATCTGACCACACATCATAAAAATATAATTCATTTACAGAACCAGCGTAGGAGGAACATAAAAATAAGTGCAAAGATAGAAAGTGGAATGCTTTCTACTAAAGAGACTTCTTGGTGTAGACCCACACAGAACAGCTGGATATAACAAAATAGTCCAGTGTTTAATTAAATACTAATTGGACTGATATATATTTTCACAGATAAAAAGTATAGAAAGTCTTTGTTCATTTCTTCATCACCTGTGAAACACAAGTATAATAAACAGAATTATGAAAATTTAAATAAAGAAAAAGACCTGACTGATAAAATTGTTGATATTCACCATACTTATTTTTGCTTTGTGTATTTTTTTGGATTTAAAATTCTTTGTAAATTGCTGAAGTACATTATCAAGTGGTTTGTTATTTCATGTTGACCTGATTAGAATGGCCTTTGGCAGCGTGCAGAGACTAATAATGTTGTACAGTTTAATACCAAAACCTGACATTTTAATTCATGCTTGAACCTTGTCACTATGACAGATTTGAGATCAATCGGGAAGGAATTAAAGCCTGCATAGGAAAGTGTGTGGATTTCATATATATGTATAAAATACACCTCATATAATGGAAATTATTTGTTTTAAAATAAGCCCATGTCCTGCTGTATCAGTAAATTAGTACTCCAGTTTCATCTTCTTCAGCATTGCATCTACTATGAAGTGAGGGATTGCTCGGTCTTGGGGTGGTTTTGCAAGAAAAAGAAGTAACTGCTATATTATGATGTGCCATTCATGACCTGCAGTCTCCTCCTGCCCTGATGGAGCTATGCCCCTGAGAGGCTCCTGGCCCCATGTGCCGTGGGCAGCACCACCGCTCTCTGCCAGGGCCTCCCCAGGCAGGTCCATCTCGGCCCCCCTCGCCAGCAGCAGCATGCCTCCAGATCGGCCCATCTCAGCCCTTTGCATTCAAAGCCTTGAGCCTGCTCTGCCTGGTTGGTGGGTTTGACATCCTCCTCGACATTTCAGTGTTCGGGCTGGGGGCAAGGAAGCACACTGGGGGCTGACCCATCAAGCGGTGGTTTGTGCATGTTAATTTGAGGTCTGAAGCTGGTTTGGCAGCCCCAGGTGTCAAGCTGTGTGCGCTGAAAAGCTGTGAAATCCTGTGTAGCAGGAGCCTCAGTATTAGCTTAAATGAAACGCGAAGCAGCAGTACTCTCGTTATTCTTCCCAGAGCATCTTACGATGTTTGCACCTGCATTTGAACTGTGTTCAAGGTGAGGCATATCAGCAAATCCCCTGATGTCTAGTGAGTTGCTTCCTGGTGTATGACAGGTTGTCACATTTATACAGTGCCTTTCATCCAGAAGGATCTCCAAGCACTTTATTAGCCAGCACACAAACTCCAGGCTGAGCTGCAGCTGGGGCAGGTTACCCTGCCCACGGCCTGGTGAGCCAGCACAGCACGATGCTGGGGGCTCTCCCACCTGTCCCATCCTGCCGGGAAGTTTCCTTCCACACCACTCTTCCAGCACCCAGGAGGACCCTTACGGTCTGAGGCTGTGCCAGAAGAGAAGCAAAGACTCTCTGAACCAAGAGCACAGCAGAGGCAAGGCCAGGGCTCATACTGTCCCTCCAGGGTGTAGGCAGGGAATGGAGAGCATCAAATTGAATTTCCAGAACAATACCTGCTTTCTCCATCCATGGCGATGGCAGTGAGGGTCCCTGTGGTGTAGGAGCTCCTCTGGGAGGGTGCTGCAGGAGAGCCCTGGCCACCTCCAGAGGCAGGAGCTGGTGGCACCAGCAGCTGGGCCCTCTCACAGGGGATCTTGGCAAGTCTCTCCTTCACAAGCTCATTTCCTCCTAGCTCTTAGTGGAAAAGATCCATCTGGGGCACGTGCTGCAGTAGCAGCCTTCCTGTGTGGCACAACTGCCAAGCACCATGTTGTCTCTCCAGGTCTGCCCTCTAGACAATGTAACAGGAGGGTTAATGTGGGATTTAGGCATAAGGATTATGCTTTGTTTTGGGCAGCCTCTCTTCACTGAGACTCAGCTCTAACCGTAAGGGTTCTTTGTATGGCAGAGCAATGGCGATACCTCTCTTCACTGTCAGGATCAGCCAACTACAGGCAGCCATTTCATACTGTAGTTAACAAGAAGGCGATATATACACACCTACAGATATATATATAACAATTTGTCGGTGTCATGGTCTCAGACAGTAGGACCCAGGAGCCACAATCAACACTCATGTTCCTGTAGACCATGCCACTTTCTTGCAGATCAGTCTCAGCACAGACACACATGGCGAGTCCACTGCCCAGTGCAGCCCCACAGCCCATCTGCAACTGCTCACCATCTTCACCTCCAGGGACCATCTTTTGGGAACAGCTGTTTTATGGCATACTCACATGCACACAGATGCCTGGCAGGAATTAAGCCCTCTGTATAGAAATACAGAAATGGCTTAATTTATCTCTGAAATGCAGATATCTCTATGGCGTAATGCTGCAGCTGTTTAACTACATAATGGGCTGTTCAGGACAGACAGTATAAAACTGAAATTGAAATGAAAACTTGCCCAAAAGAGGATTTGCCCAGCATATTTAGGCTGATTCAGCTCCTCTTAATGAAATAAAATTCTAATGGCTGCAAGAAGCCATGGCATTCATTATATCTAAAAACCATATTCCAGATCCCTTGTCATTAAATGCAAATAGCATTTCATAAATGATGATCACAGAAGAAAACTCCATGTTCATAGTCCCACCTTTCCACACATGGGTGTTTCTCCCATTGCTTTTCATTGCTGAAACAGAACTGGGCTTTTAAAGTCAGATCGTAGATAATGTAAATTAGTACGTCTACATGGCTTGCTCTTTAAATTAGCAAACACAAAACAGTTTTCATTAGCTGGCAATTTAATTCTCTATTTCATTAAGGCCAAATCATTATTTTTATAAACTGGTTTTGTTGGACAGGTTTTTTTTACTTCTCTACTACAAACCCATGAACATTTTCACCTAAACTTAAATGAGGGAGAGGTTTATTTGAAGATATGGTCATTATTCACCAACACAGACCATCAGTGAGGATTTTCCTTCTTCACTTACTCTTGTTCCATTCAACACAGCATTTCCAATTCGTAAAGCTGAACTGTCATACAGGTTTGTATTTTTGTGAAATGAGATAAATTATTGCAGAGCTTCAGGCTAAGTTCTGATGTCAGTTGATTTAGAATCAATACTAAGAAATTGAAATAAGAAAGAAATGTAAGATTTGGATCAGTATGACTGAGATCAATACCTGACTCAGCAAGTCCTGCTGTGGTAGAAAGGATGCACTGTTTGAGTTAGAGAGTGTGTAATTACTTTGTAGGATACAGTTCTTCCATTCATGTAAGTCACAATCAAGCAGAGGACTTGGTAATAGGTTCAAGTGTCTGATGATTGTCCTCACAAAGAATTACTAGCTTTGTTCATAGTTACCTGTGGAATCTACATGCTCATATCCATGCTTTGACTGACCATTTTGAGGTTTAATAGTATGGCCATCTCATTTTAAAAGGGCTCAGCATGTATGTATTCTTTAGTTCAATTTATATATTGATTTTATGAATTAAGAAAATTTCCCTTTCAAGTAGCCTGACTTATACTGCTCTAGAACTGTTCTTTCCTGAAGAAAAGCCACTATGACTGTGCAGAATTTTCTGTACAGAGACAAAACTCATACTTCCATTTACCATGTGACATGCCAAAATATTCAAGTGTGGCCTAAGGACTAAATTAAATGCCTCCTATAGAATTTCAAGGAATGTTAGAACCAGGAAACTAGCTGTTTAGTTATCATTAAAGGTATATATAAATATATATAAAAAATATATACATAAGAAATCATATCAACAATGAGGATGAACTGAGTGCCAAATATTCACCATCTGTATAAAGCTACACTTCACTAGAATTAAACTATTTTATGTAATTCTCTTTCTCATGCTTTTATGGTTCTTTTGATAAATTCTA